TCTATCTATCTATCTATCTATCTATCTATCTATCTATCTATCTATCTATCTATCTATCTATCTATCTATCTATCTATCTATCTATCTATCTATCTATCACGTCCCTTTTTCAGGGGGACGGCCAAAACCCAAGCCAGTTCCAGCTAGGTCAAAGCGGAGGAGGAAGCGCCGGAGGTTTCAACCCTGATGCCGTCAACACCCAGAGTTTCAGCTTCTTGAACCCGTCCTCACAGCTCAACGGTAAGAACCCTGGAAGTCCCGCCACGGGAGGAGGGAGTGGAGGAGCAGGAGGAGCAGGAGGAGCAGGAGGAGTGCCTCCCGGTACTTCATCTCTGTCCAACCCATCGCAGAGCGGGGGGAGCGGAAGCGGTGCGGGAAACTTCAACCCAAGCGCCATCAACGGCATGGCGGGCGGCCAGCAAGTCGCCCAGACCGGGAATATGGGATCCGCCTCAGGGGCGGTAAGTCAAACCGGAGGTTCGTTCAGCCCCAGTGGAAGCAGCAGTCAGAGCGCCAGCAACTTTAACCCCAATCTCGTCAACAATATGATGACCAGTGGTCAAGCGCCTGGAGGCTCGGCTCCCAGTCAGAACGGACCTGCCGCTGCATACGGGAATTTTGATCCCAACAAACTGAGCACGATGAATGCCACACAGACAGGTTGACCAATGAATTAATCACGATAAACGCCATACAAGCAGGTTAACTGGCCAGCTCTACTCATCTGTCAGTGCAAGATTTGTTGCATTAACTTTCGAGTACAGGATTTCGTACTTGTGATTATCGGTTACTTCTTTCTGGTCTTATGAATTCAAAATAAACTCTTCCTGGGGTGTCACCAAGACTTTTCGTTGCTTTTCTGAATGGTTGAAGAAATTGGGAATGAAATAAATAAGGACGATATTGTTTTATTTATTCATTCAATCTGTGAAAATCTATGTATTTAAAAAAAATAGATTTTCGCTCATTTATTTATTTGTTTTATCTTTGTGGGGGGAGGGGAGGGGGGCGTGGAAAAAGAAGAAAATCTAGAAAGGGAGGGGGAGGGATCAATTGGTGAAAAAGTAAGAGAGGTAGTGCTACAACGCACTTATAACTTGTGACCAAGAAGTGAGCCGAGTTCTCGTTTTGCATGAAAAAAAAAGTATCCTTTTCCTAACTGAGAGTAAACAGCTTTGATTGCAATTCTAGGTGTACCACAGTATTCTCAGCCTTCGCTACTTTGTTTTCTGGTCATTGATCTGTTTCTCAAATTCCAATTGAAGATATGAAAAAAATGGAGTTAAAATAGTTGGGGGGGGTTTTGGTAAACCAGGCCCATGTTATACACATTTTAACCCAATTGAAGGAGTTGCAAAAGGTAGGTAAGCGTGAGACAGCAACCGAGAACATAATTTGTTATTTCCCTTAGTACAGAGGCGCCAAGATCGTATAAATTATTACGTCACGTTGAAATTGTGTATGTGTGTACTCAAAAAGGGGCGGGAAGGGGAGGGGGTCGAGGGGCGAGGGGAAGGACATGAATGCAGTGTGCGATTTTGT